AAAAATGAGCTTAGAAAAAATTTATACTCCGAATTAAGAGTAGAATTAATGTCAGACATGTGAGCAGAGTTAGCATCCATGGGAGTCTCCATTCAACCTTTTACTATCTCTGCACCTCCGCATGTTGACCTTGGCGGATCGGGAGAAACTGGTGTTGATGGTCGTATTAATTGCGAGTTATACATTGATGATCCTCCTGAGTACTTGGTTGCCTTAGGTAAATGTTATTATAATTATATTTTTCATTTTTTATTTGATTTATTCTAATTAAATTTATCTGTTCTCTTTAGGTAAAATTTATACATTAGGATCAATCATTCACCACCAGAACAATTCAAGACAACATGATATGGGTGGTTGTTATCGAAGTTCGAGATGTTACTTGCTTGAGTCCCTGTACCCACTGAAGAGGTTCAAAAAGTGAGACAAGCCCCAAGACATTTTATTCTTTGGTCGATTAGATTGACAAAACCAATCGTAGCAAGGGTAAATTAACTTACCAAATTTAATTATGTATTTTTATTCATTACATGATTAAATGAGTTAAATATATGTATATTGTTATAGAAATCTAAGACTGCAATTGTCACCTATACGATGACTCGATGCGATGGCAGTAACTTTAGGGAAGCGACACTGTACAAATAGATGTGTCTTTTGAAGTAGTAGACAAAATCAATACCATCCCTTTCTTTATCTCATCAAAGAGATGTGTTTGATATTCTTTTTGGCACATATCTATTATGCGTATCAATACTACAACTTTGGTTGTTGTAAGTATATTTCATTAACTTAATTTTTTTAATACATTTAATATGTTATTCTAACATTATTGTTTTTAATATATAAGGTATTTATACCGCCTCGCATCGAGAGGAAGAATGCTTACATTTATAGATTTTTTAACCCTATTGTCATTCAAAATGTAAGGCATAAAGCCGGTGAGGTGCAAACATATTTGATACAAGCATTTGAAAATTCAGGCAAAGAAGTATACTTAGCACCTTACGTGAATTAGTACATATATAATATTTCCTTGATAATGATTTTTACCTTTCAATTAATACTAATATTATTACAACTTGTAGGAGTCATTGACAATTGTTAATAATTATCTCTCAATAGTTTTTAGTGGTTCTTTTGTGTTCATTACACAAGAAAACTACTAATTTATCTATAAAGAATATAATAGACTTGTAAGTCTCTTATTCAATTATATTTTATTTGTTGTACAATTTAATATTAATAAATTAAATATTTTATATAATTCAATGTACATTATTTTATATAGTGCTATGGATGCACATATAAACTTTAGTATATTGCATCTAATGTAAGTTATTTGTTTGTTTACTATTCAATTATTAAAATGAAATATATTTTCATTATTATTTTTGTATTTTGCAGTGTCCACATTAATCGAGAAAATCATGAGTGTGGATATTATGTGATAAAACACATGCACAAAATCATATCTACTAATATTATTTACTTTTGAAAAGAGGTAATATAAAAAAATAACATAGTCAAATGTAAATTTGCACCTAAATTGTTTTCCATTATTTATTTATTAAATCATGTTGATTTTAGTAAACAAATAAGTCCTGTTATATGCTCTTTGAACTTATGCTATGAAACAAATGATATTTATTCCTTGTTTGTGAACAACTACATCCTTTTGGTAAATATAGTATTATATCTTGCAATATTTCTAGTTTACTATTGTTATATGTTTATTATGTAGCTTCTTCCATCCTTCTGCCATAGGCTACAAAATTTGTCATTAATAACTTAGAATAAATGCAAACATCTTTGATCTCAATCTATAATAATGACACAGGAAGATATTCATCATGTACTCATAAGTGCTTTCAAGTTCTAATTGGCCCTCACAATCATTTGGCACTCCAATTGACGTGATTACCTTACAAAAACTAACTAGAATAACACTTTCTCCCTATGGAGTCAGTCAGAAGTAACCTCAATTGGGTACATGTTAGTACATACTCTTACCATACACCTAGGACATAAAACTTCATTGTTGCACCTTCAGCTCTATATGATCATCATGTTAATAACATCAACATTAACTATTATATCAGGGCATGGATCAGGAAGGGGTTAGATGTTAATAAGTTGATTTTGGGTTTTTCTTTCTTTGGATCTACATGGGAACTCCAAAATCCAAATAGCAACAAATAGGTACAGTAACATCGGGTCTAGCAGATGGCACTGACCAGGGATCCATAAACTACAAGGACATAAAAAATCAAATTCAGTAACATAGGGTTGCAGTACAATAACTGTAAAAGATACAAAAACATATCACCTTCCACACAACATTAATTTAGGCACATTGTATTTCACTAAAATAATAATCTAAAGCCCAAGACATATACCTATGGAATTATGTGTTACAATAACTATCATTATTAACATTTTTCTTTATGGAGATCTTGGAAAAGGTTGATTTGTTACTTTTTTGTTTTCAATTATTTATTGATTAAATAATGTTGATTTTGTAGAAATTCAATTATCCATGCTCATTGAAAGAAGAAGTTATAGAAAACGTGAAAATACAATAGGCTTCCCAAAAAAATTTATGTATTTTGTATGTTATTATTAAATATATTATGAATTTGTTGATTATAGTATGCTTGAAAAAATATATATTTATTAATATGCAAAGAGGTTGATGTATAAAATAAAAAAGAATTATTTAAAAAAAATTATAATTTTTTATGTCGGTTAAAAAAATAATCAACTTAAAAAGTATATTTTCTATGACAAGTGATACCAGAATTGTCGTAAAAAAATGAAACTCTTTATGACAATTAAAATAATAATTATCATAAAAAATTCATTTTCTATGTCGGTTAAGCAAAAAAACCGTTATAAAAAATAATATTTTCTATATCAATTCTTTTACTAAATCGACATAGAAAGTCGATTTTCTATGATGATTAAGATAATAACCATCATAAAAAATAATACTTTCTATATTAATTCTTTTTAAACTGACATAAAAAAATCTGCTTTCTATAATAGTTAAGATAACAGGCATCATAAAAATATCTACGTCAAATTCATTTTTCCTCCTCTTTGTTAAACCTTTTATGACAATTAGATGTACATTAAAAAAGTAATTTTTTATATTGTTCTTTAAATCAACATAAAAAAAAATGAAGATTTTCTATATCTTCTATATTTATGTCAATTAAAGAACTTTCAAATAACCAACATAAATTTTTTTTATCCAATAATGTAGAATTATGTAAATAAGACTAATATATTTTTTTATTTCATATTTATATACATATTTTTTTTATCTTGATTTCCATCTTCTTATACTAACTTAAATATTAAAATATATTTGTAAATACATTTCTACTTTTTTCTAGAACCAATCATAGCTTGACCTAATAGATTTTAACATATTTACCGATTAGATCGACTTATCCAAATTTATTTATTATTATAATTTTTTTAGAATAATTTTTATACTTTTTTCATGGAAATTACAACCATTATATTATTTTTGTTTTTAGATGAAAATAAATAATTTTTTTATAATTATAGATTGAAGTTCGATATTAATTTAAAATTCATATAGTTTTTTGTTTTAAAATTAAATATATTGAATATTAAATTAAATAGTATATATAATGACTAAAATAAATTGTTGTTTTTTGAATGAAGAAAATAAAAAATATTAAAGATAAAACTAAAAACACAAATGAAAAAGTAATTATATAAATATTTTTAATAAATATAAAAAAATATTATTAATAATGGGTGGGTAAAATGCTTTTAATCCTTATAAACATTTATTTATTAAAGTAGTAGCATAATTTTTTCATATTAATTTAATTCTTATAAAATACAAATATAATTTCTTTTATCTAAACTTTTAATTTTATTAATGGTTTGGTAACTTGTTTTATAACATGATGAACACAACTCTTCTTACAGACAACCATACATTGAAAATAAAAAAGAAAGGAAGAACTATCTGGGGCGCCATCTCCCGGAAAAAAATAATATATATGTATAAATTAAAAAAAATCACAAATTTAATAATTTAAAATCTTAAAATTTAAGATACATATAATTTGATTTTTATTTCATATATTTTTCTATTTTTTAATTTATTCATATATTTACAAGTTTATTTTTAAATTTAATAATTATTAAATATACTTATTTTTATATTTATAATTTTATTTTTATTTAAATTTTTATAAAAATGTTTTATAATGTTCTTATTTTTCATATTTTATATTTTTTTATAATTTATCAATGATATATTATTTAAATAGAAACATTGATGAAGATCCAGTCTTTATAATACGAAGGATTCCAACACGAAGGACAGTGCAGTTGACGTGTGCGATGAGGTGTCCAACAATGACGGTGTAGTTTGACGGAGGTGGTGTAGGAGAAGCACCGAAGCAGCAGAAAATGAAGGAGTTGAAGAAATAAACGTGAAAGACCATGAATTTCTCGACCAATTACAAGTGGGATCAACAAATCTTCTGGGTTAAGGATGGTATGCAATGAAAAATAGTTAGATAAAATAATTATGTCATGAAAAAAATGGAAAAGAATATTGAAAAATCCAAGTATTTTAATAGATATTAAATATATAATAATAATCCAAAGTCCATATCCTTTAAATTGTATAATTTGTTATATTATTCCTTTAATCTGAAAATAAACAGAAAGAAACAAGATGGTGAAAAAATAGTGTGAAATCTTATAACACTGATACTAACTATTAATATGCATGTTTGACTGAGTGTACATTGGACGAGAGAGTAGGTAGAAGAAGTAGATCCACCACAAGTGCTAGATGTGTAAAGTTATAATGTCTGCAACAACCGTAAAGTTTGCGTGTTTTATGGGAATTGCTGGTTTAAATGAGTGAGGAGTCGACCTCTCAGTCACACAATCAGAGTGAGTGTGAGTGGAAGAGCAAGGAATTGTAAGAAGTGAGAAAGATGACGATTGATAATGCTGAGAACCAGGCCATCAACGATTGGCTTCCTATCACTGCTTCCCGGAAAGCCAAATGGTGGTACTCAGCTTTCCACAACCTCACGGCCATGGTTGGTGCCGGTGTCCTCACCCTGCCATATGCCATGTCTATGATGGGCTGGTACGTATCTTCAATTTGAAACCATGCTGTTAATCTTATGTAGAATCTCCTTAGAAACTAACACGATTTGTTGTTGTTTGTGATACAAAAATGGATTGAAACAACAGGGGTCCAGGGACTGTTATCGTGCTACTATCATGGATCGTGACCTTGTTTACCCTATGGCAAATGGTGGAGATGCATGAAATGGTGCCTGGTGTGAGATGCGATAGGTATCACGAACTGGGGCAGCAAGCCTTTGGAGAGAAGTTGGGTCTCTACATCGTGGTTCCTCAACAGCTACTTGTTCAGGTTGGCACATGCATTGTTTACATGGTGACAGGAGGAGTCTCACTGAAGAAGTTTCACGAGACAGTTTGCCCCTCCTGCCAAACCATTAGGACCTCCTATTGGATTGTTATCTTCGCTTCTGTAAACTTCGCTCTCTCTCTTTGTCCCAACTTCAACTCTATTTCTGCAGTCTCCTTTGCTGCAGCCGTCATGTCTCTCACGTAATCTAATCAAACTCCCCTATATTGTTTTAAGTGACCCTTTTGAAAATTGCTTACTAATTGTCATAATATGCATGCAGTTATTCAACCATTGCTTGGGCTGCTTGCCTTAAGAAGGGCGTTGTACCAGATGTGGACTATAGCTACAAAGCCCGCGACACTGCGGATGGTGTGTTCAACTTCATGACTGCCATGGGAGAAGTAGCATTCTCTTATGCAGGTCACAATGTGGTTATGGAAATCCAAGCAACAATACCTTCTACACCTGAGAAGCCTGCCAAGATAGCAATGTGGAAAGGATGTGTGGTTGCATATCTTGGAGTTGGCTTTTGCTACTTTCCTGTGGCCTTCATTGGATACTATATATATGGAAACTCTGCCGATGATAATATCCTCGTCACACTAGAGAAACCTATTTGGCTTGTTGCAGCAGCTAACATGTTTGTTACTATTCATGTTATTGGAGGCTATCAGGTAAGGTTCAATAGTTATAATTGAGGTAAATATTCATGTTGCTGTAAATATTCATGTTATAAATCACATCTTTGATTTGCATACAATCAATAGGTATTCTCAATGCCGGTGTTTGATATGATGGAAACCTTTTTGGTGAAGCAAATGAAATTTCCTCCAAGTTTTACACTCCGCTTTGTTGCTCGCACTCTATTCGTAGGTATGTGATGAGATACATGGACCTTATATATCTTTAGTTTGAGTCATTACAATTATAAATAAATACATGGATATTTTATAACTATCCTTTCTATTTCAGCAATGACAATGATTGTTGGCATATCTATCCCTTTCTTTGGCTCTCTTCTTGGATTTCTTGGAGGGTTTGCCTTTGCCCCAACATCATTCTTTGTAAGTAAAAGCATGCAACAAGTTCTTTATTCTTTCTCCTTCTGTAAATACCAAGCAAATGTGCTCCATTTTATAGATCATATATATATTGATTATCTTTATTGCAGCTACCCTGTATCATTTGGCTTAAAATCCACAAACCAAAGAAATTTAGCTTGTCTTGGATAGTCAACTGGGTATGTCATTACATGAGATTCTCAAAATTCTTTCTTAGGATTCTCATCGTGTCTAGTAATTTACTGAGACAAACTTTTCTTATTTACATTGCAGATATGCATTGTGCTTGGGGTACTGCTGATGCTGCTAGCTCCAATTGGTTCGTTAAGAAAAATCATCATTTCAGCCAAGCACTACAAGTTCTTTTCATGAGCTGCTTAGAATCAACTGCTTAGAATTAGGCAATAGATAGCCTAGATTCTACTCATATTAGTGAAGGAAATTCAGAGCTAATTAAGTTTAGATGTTTCCTTCTTTCTTTTAGGATTCTTTGAATTCTTCTATTTCATTTCAGTTATAAATAATAGTTTCATTTAGAATTACAATTCTAAATAGTTTATATATATATATATATATATATATATATATATATATATATATATATATATATATATATATATATATTCCATTAAATAGCTATTTTTATTTACTATTGAATCTATAATCATTCTACACAAGATAAACCATAGATTTTATGAAGGTTAATGTCACAACTAAATTAATTAGCACAAAAAAAAATGTCACATAAAATATTATTAATAAATAGTCTTTAAAACTACATTTAGATTTCGAAGTGATTGTATATTGAGAAAGTAATTGTTAGTAGATTACCTTTAATTAAAGATTTAAAATTAATATATTTTTTAAATGTTTATTTTATTTCTTGAATTAAATAAAACCATATAAAATATTAAACTAAATTTTTAATTATTTATTATAAAAAGAATAGTGATTTGAACCGACAAAATACTAACCTTTCTTTTACGTATTTTTTTTTATGATAAAAAAAATCATGTTACAAATTTTTAATTAAAAAATAAATTTTGCTGGTTGATTTTAGAAAAAAAAATTAATTTATCAAGACATTAGATCTCGATTTTTTATATTTTAAATTAAAATGTTATTTTTTTATTGAATATCAATTATATAACGACATGTAAATGACAAATATGAGATATTAGTGAAAAAGAACATTTTCAATTAGAGTAGTGAATCTGCAACTAAATATGACAATTAATGAATTTACAACATGAATACATCATAAAATAATAAATATTAAATTTCTCCACAAGATATTAAATAAAAATATAGATAAACATTAGATATTTAATATCTATAGAGATTTAAAATTGTTAATTATCAAACAAGTTTAAAATTCAACATGATAATTATTATATTTATTAAAAAAATTTAATTATTATATTATATATTTGAAATTATCATCATAAAATATTATTTATATTATATTAAACGACGACAGATTGCCAATAAAATATTTAAGATTTATATAGATAAAAAATTTAAATTTTGATTATCAAGCAATCCATTTTAGCTATATATCTCAAAATGATATTGTCGAATAGAAGAAATTTATGTATACTAAATTTATTATATATATGAAAAAAAAATGAAAAATATTATTTAAAAAACATGCTAATATTACACCAAATTAACAATTAATAAATATCATAGAAAAAATAGAAGCACAAATAACTCTAAGGTTGGGAAGAAACTTATTTAAACTATTAATCATACCATTCTATGGAAGAAATGAATAATATATATATATATATATATATATATATATATATATATATATATATATATATATATTCATCAAACACATGATTAAGCTTAAAATGAAAAATTACTTATGATAAAAATCTAAACATAATGACTAAAATTCGGAGAGGTGAGAATTTTTTTTTTTTTGGATTTTTCCTAACAACTTGCTATCTTATAAAATAATTAACTAATTTTTATGTCAATCATTCTTAAGTTTATCAAATTTAGTTTGTAGTGTCCTCTTTTATTAGATTTCTTTATTTTGTTTTCAGTTCTTAATTTTACTGATTTCATTCCCTAGTTCTAAACCCTACGCATTACAATTTTTAATTTTCATTTCATTTTTTCTCTAAAATTTATTATTATAGAAGAAGAGAAGTAATCCATTTAACATGGGACTAAGTTAAGAGAAAACACCTGTTGTAAGACACAAACAAACTTTGTTCCTGAAACGTGTATAATCATTGTGCTTAATGACTTATCTGCGGTGTATTGTGCAAGTCCCCCAAGATACAACAGGAACTTCTCGAAATTAGCAAGAAAATCTTAAATGAATAAATAAATCTAGGATAATAGTAGAACAGGAAGAAAATAGAGAAGATGAGATGAGAGAGGTGTGTCTGGAAGAGTGTGAAGTGGTCTCTATAACATTGTCTGTAACGTTCTCTGTAACATTCTCTATAACGTTCTAAGTTTTGCAATACCCCTTATTTTACAACAATCCCCACATATTGCAAAACAAAAGAGATAAAGAATAAAAGAAGAAAAGCATGGTCTCATATAAGATGTAATGTATCAGGTATAGCAAGCTATATGAACCAGTCTTAGACTGAAAACTTAACACACAGTGTAGTTGGTGTAGCAAGTTATATAAACCAAAACACTTAGTGTATGTTAGTGGTTTAACAATCATAATACACTCCCACAATTGTTGTTGTTATTGTTGTGTTGCGCTTACTAAGTCATGCGCATGCCCGGTATTCATGAGTGCTCTAGAAATCTTACAAAGATCTCATACAAGCGACCCCATTTGACACTCATATAGGTGACATCATCAAGAGTATGCTGCAAATCATACACAACCCGTAAGGGATATGAAATCGTTAAAAACTTTGTTTAGATTAAAATTCGTACACCACATAGAATTTTAATTACAAAGTTTAACCTCTCAATGATGCAGTATCTAGAATTTTCACATATACACGATAAGAATGTACATAATTAATTTTAATCAATTTTAGTGTTAGCAGAACTAACAAGTGACTTGTTTTTACCCATATGAACCTTATTCATGGGATCTCCAATCACAAAGGTTAGGTTTCCATCACCTGTCTGTTTACAAGTGGCTTAACTCTCATTCACCTCAATGTTTCTAAAATCATATTTATTGCTAAGGGTTTTTTGTCAGAGGATCTTCTAGATTCCGTTCTGACTTCACATAGTCAATGAAAATTTTTCATTCTTTAGCAACTGTTTCACTAAATTATGTCTCAATTGTATATGTCTATTTTTTTCATTGTAGTTTTTATTTTTTTATCATGAATATTAACTAATCCTAATCGTTGCAATTTCATAACATATGGAGAATTCACGTGTCCTAGTCTAGCATGCCACAGATCATATGAATCAATAATATAAGTAGAAGAACAAGATTAATTAATAACCTCATATATGTTAAGTACAAAAAGACCTTGATCATAATATCCCTTCCCTACAAATACATTATTTTTTGTCATAACAATCTTATCATATTCGAATGACACTTTAACCCCAACTTTTCCTAGCAGTGCTACAGAGATTACATTAGCTCTGATTAATGACACATGTAGCATATCACTCAAGGCCAGAGTCTTTCCAAAAGTGAGCTTTAGAAGAACTTTTCATTTTCCTAAGGCAAGAGTTGACCTGGAATCACCGAGATAAACATGTTCTTTTCCATCCCTACACTAGTGTACGAGGTAAAAACACTTCTGTTTGCACAAATGTGTCTGGTAGCACCAGAGTCTACCACTCATTTGCTCACATTTGTCACAAGGTTTATTTGGGAAACGACCGCAATAATTGTATCTTCTCTTTTGACTAAATTTGGCCTTAGGAGAATTATTGTTTCTGATTCTACGTCTGCACTAAGGTGCATGATGACCTGACTTTCTACAAACAAAGCAATTTCCCTTCTTCTTGAATGTGGGGTTAGATCCATTGGGACGAGAATTTTTAAAAATATTTTTCTTTTTATAATCAGGTTTTTTTCATGTACCTTTTTGGAGTTGGTTTGTCTTTTACCATACTTGCCTTAGCTGATAATGTTTTAACCCTTGCAACAGTACACTCCTTTCGGTTGGTATCTTTGATGATGATGTGCCTGATCAAATCTGCTAGTGACATCTGTTTATGACTATGCTTCAGTTGTTGTTTATAGTCTGTCCAGGATTCTGGAAGCTTTTCAATTAGAAGTTCCGAAACAAACTCATTAGGTAGGACTATGTTTTCGGCTTTAATATCTTCAAGTAGTTTATGGTACTCGTTGATCTGAATCTTAATATCCTTATCTTCTAGCATCTCCCAGCGGTAGTAGTTTCCAATAACGAACATTTGTCTCACGACATCTTCGGTAGTGTATTTGAGAATCAATGAATCCCAAATATCTTTGATTTCCTTATAGGAACAATATACATCGAACAAATCATTAGACAATGCATTAAGCAAGGTGTGTCAACATACCTTGTTCAAATGAACCCAATCTTCAGTTTGTTTAGTAGGAGTACTAGAGTCAAGTTTGGTAGTTGTAAGAGCATAAGTCACTCCATACATGTCTAAGAGAGTAGAAATACATTCTTGCCAACGACGAAAGTTTTGCCCAGTGAAAACTTCAATTTTCGAAACATCCAGGAATGGTTTCGCAAAGACAATTTGAGATCCGGAAATGTTGTTTGTCTTTTTCGGTGTGGAATTGTTATTGGTATCCATACTGTCAGCCATAAGTCCTTAAAATTGTTGTAAAAGCTGACAAAGACATGAACAAACTTTATTCCTGACATGTGTATAATTACTGTCCTTAAGGACTTATCCGCGGTGTCAGTGGCGGATCTTGACCATTTATCTTGAGGGGGTAAAATAATATATTATTAATAAATAATAAATAAATATAAAAGAAAGAAAGAAGATGAAAGGGTGAAAGGATAAAATTGTAGATATATACTTAAATATATTAAATAATCCTTAAGTTTGAGGGAGACAAAATCATAAATTATGAGAGTTACAAAACTAAGGAGGGGCTGAGAGGATAAAATTGTAAATAAACAAGTATATATATTAAATATTCATTAAGTTTGGGGAGGGGCAAAATCATAAATTACATGGGAATTACAAAACTTTGGGGGGGGGGGGGTCACGGCTCCCTCAGCTCCCAAAAGATCTCGCCACTACATGGTGTATTGCGCAAGTCCCCCAGGATACAACAACAACTTCTTGAAATTTTTGAGGGTCTCAGAAACTAGCAAGAAACTCTTAAAGGAGTAAATAAACTCAGGATAATAGTAGAATAGGAAGAAATTAGAGAAGAGAAGATAAGAGAGGTGTGTCTGGAAGAGTGTGAAGTGATCTCTATTTATAAGTGTAGAATGAGCCCAAAACCCTAACTACCTACATTCTTTGTAACGTTCTAAGTTTTGCAATACCCCTTATTTTACAACAAGACCAATTTTCAATCATTTTTATACATATCTTGTGTAGGCTATTACTGAACTTACAAATGTAAAATTTGAACATTTCATCATGTAAAATTTGAACATTTCATCATTATAAACAAGCTAATAGAAAAACTATTTTTATTCTGTGAATATCTTGTCAAATTTTCATTTTATTTCTCTCCCATTCCAATTCAAAATATTTTGGGTAAAAATGGAGATTGAAAGTGTTGGATTGAGCACTCACTTACCACTTAACCAAAAGCTTGCTTATGAGCATAACAATCCAAGCTCATGACCTTGGTTCTCTTATTGTAATTGTTGGATTAAACTTTATCATTAAACTAAAAGTTATAGTTAATAATTAGGATACAATTTTTTCTTTACTTAAATGGGTAGATGTCCAAGTGTCATGATTCAATTGTAACTTGACTCAATTAACCTTTAGTATTCCTTTGCTAGACTTAAAAAATTATTTCTTAGTAATGTTAGTTATTTTAAGACTTCCATCACTTAAAATTATTTTTTAACTTAGGTTTAACTTTTCATGTGACTTTAGACCGCAAAGACAATCATAGTTATAAGTGATAACAAATTCGTTCTTCTGATAATTTTTCATGCACTCATTTATGTCTGCTTATGCACATTTTGTCGTCTAAATATGATCAAATAATACAATACAAAATAATATAATGCAATAACTAGGAGAAACCTAAATCGTATCATCGAAGAGCATTGACAAAATATTATAGACATCACTTTTACTTGTTAAGAGTTAAGTGAGGGGGGATTTTGTAAGTTTTGATGTGAAAAATAATAAAGAAATACAATAAACCCATGGTTTAAGGCAAAATAGTAAACTAAACATAAGGATAACAATAAATTCAATGTAGTAATATGAATGAAAAAAATTAATCAAAGAAATAACCTAACTCTAATTATTCAAGTAAACAAAGTGCAAAAAATAGTAGATGAAAACATTAAATCTAGACTATAATGAAAGTAGTAAAATTATGAAGAATCAAATCTAAACTATAGAAAATAAATTTTAATCGATAAATCAATTAGAAAAGATAAAAAATGCATTACAACTACTAAGAATAGTAAAAACAGTAGAAAAATAATAAAATTGCAAAAAAAAAACAGTAGAATAAGTAAATGCAGAAATTAAACAAAAGAGATTGAGAAGAGGAAATAAATTTGATTTAAAACATCTTGAATTGATAAATTTCAAGGAAGAATTTGTACAAGTACAATAGAATTCGAAAATGAAAATCTATTTTAAGAACAATAGAAGAAAAGAAAGAAAATTAGAGAGAAAACTCAATTCTAGATCTATAATGAAGTTAACTTGAAGATAATTTATGTCTTTTGGTTTTCTCAAATCCTTATATACAACCACTAACCTAAATAAATCATGTAACACTCATACAATGTCCAAAATAAATCAATTAAATCATTTAGAACTTGATTCAATATTTCTACAAAAGTCGTTATGCAATATTTTTGCTCAATAGAATCTTTCTTCACTGAATAGATTTTCAATTAAGTTAATTTCTTATAATTTGACATCTTTGTTCATTGGATTGGATTGTTTCTTCACTAAGTGGATTGACAACTTTAGGAATAATGTTTCTAGAGATAATTTGTTAAGCAAAATTTGATAATTAAGTATTTTTTTTTTGAAGTGAATAGAAACCTACTTTACATATAAAACAAAAGATATGTAGGTCATGAATGAAGTGGACATTCATATAAATGAAGAGAAGCTTTGATCGAAAATAAAAGGAAAAATAAATTGGAAACAACGAATTAGATGATAAAGAAATGTGTCCTCAATTCAAAAAGAAAAATAATAACAATTTTGAACAAGACTTTAGTAAAAAGTAAATATGAAGTACTAATCTTGAACTACATTTTGGAAAAAAGTGGAAAGTAGTGTCAATCTTAATTAAGATTCCACAAAAATAGTATAAGCAATCAAAAGTAATTGAGTTGTATTCTAATATGTCACGAGAAAAGTGTTACCAACATAATTTTTTACCAATTGTAATATATTTTTATTAATTAAAAGTTTTAAAAAATAAAATAAGGTAAAAATTTATTAAATGAAAAATAAAATGTAAAAAAAGTTTTTAAAATCTATAACTAGTTTATAAGTAAGGAATAAGATTAATTATTTCATCACATTCTAAAAAAAACTTTAAAAGGATATCAAACAAGTAACCTAATTGTAAAATATCATTTTCTTATTATATATATATATATATATATATATATATATATATATATATATATATTGCTACAATAACATTGATTCTAGAGTATAAAATAGTATTAAATGCACACATTCAATATTGGCGAAGGGCATAAGGTCGCGACAAAGGCGACAATGGAGGTTTCAGAATGTGACGGAGGACGCAATGGAGGTTATGAGGACGCAGCAAATGATGTAATGAACAAGGTGGAAAACATGAAGATGCAATAAAAACTACAAAAGAAACATGGTGGAGGGTGATATGGAGACGTAATGAAAGGTGCAATAGAGGTTAAAGGTGTGATGAGAAACACAAGGACTAAGAAGAATAAGAAGAATATTTTTGTAGAAGGGAAAGAATGTTTTGGGTATAAAATAGAGGAAGAAGAATGGTTTTGTATTATAATCGATGTTGAAAGTCACATTCAACATCGGATATTTTGATTGTATTATAATTGATGTTGAAAGTCACATTTAACATCAGTTCTTGGATAAACCAATATTGAATGTAACTTTCTAGATCGGTTCGTGTGATGAAAAGCGCAAGGACGAAGAAGAATATTTTTTAGAAGGGAAAGAATGTTTTGGGTATAAAATAGAGGAAGAAGAATGGTTTTGTATTATAATCGATGTTGAAAGTCACATTCAACATCAGTTATTTCAATTGTATTATAATTGATGTTGAAAGTCACATTTAACATCGGTTCTTAGATAAACCAATATTGAATGTAACTTTCTAGATTGGTTATAATATAATCGATGTTGAATGTAACTTTATACATCAGTTACAAACTTGTCCCAAATTATAAATTTACCACCATCTCTTTTTTCTACATTAGTTCCTTTATAATTGATGTTAAATGATGTCCTTAAAAATTATTTTTGTTGTATATATATATAAAATAACACATTTATTTTTCTTTCATCATTATGTCTTTTAAAGCATTGTTTGATCTATCTTTTAGAAATGTCCTATGTTATCTACATTTTCACTTCAACTCTTCTTTTAGCCCTCTTGTTCACTTCGCCTCTTTTTCTTTGCTTTCATTCTACCTTGAGATACCTCTTTGTCTTATTTTGCTTTCAATTTTGTATATGTTAAAATATCTTCTTCATTTGTTTTTGTTGTATCCTCATTGTAGAATGTTAATCCCTTAGTAAAAAAGGAGGTTCATTTAATTAGGGGATGACTCCTCAAGTAATGAGAGCACTAAATCTATTACACACAATTCAAGAGAAGTTTATGTTCTTTATAGAAAATCTTGTAGTGTCTATTTCTAATGTTCCAATTACTCACAAGATTGTTAAAACTTGAAGCGCTTCGAATACCCAAAAGCTTAAATTGAGTGCGGGTCCAAGTAAGTAAAATTACAAGAATACGTTTACTCACATCCTTAACCCCAAGTACTACTAGATATTCCATGAGATTCATTATTAGCCTTTTGATTTTACCTTAGTTTCTATTGTTAAGGATTTTTATAGAGATTTTGATGTATGTAATCCAACTAATGCTAAACTTATCATTGTTGAATTGTCTCTACTACATATAGGGATTATATGAAGTCAATAATTGATGACAACGATTTTACTTTTGTTTATAAATTTTTAAGGATCTAGATATTTTTTTAACTTTTCTTAATTTGAATGTCGAATATTGTCTATTTTGAGAGTGGTATCTAGCTAATTACCTCTAAATAGTTGGACTTTTTTTAAATCTTCCAAATATTGTCATTTTTTGCAAGTGAAGCCTTCAACTAATCATTTTATGTATTTTTATCAATTAAATATGATGCTAATGTTAACTATTTTTTTTAATGAATCTAAATATGGTGGTTTGTTTGTTGTATATAAAGATTTCAAAACTCAATTCTTTTGAGTGAAATGGGCAAAAGATGATCCTTCATAAGTTTTATTGTACTATTAAATAATCCTCCTTTTTTTTGCTTTATTGTTCTATTATAGTAAAGTTATATATATATATATATATATATATATATATATATATATATATATATATAAAAGAATAATACACTCATTCTTTCTCTTATAATCCATCTATCATAATAATATGCATGATTTTTTTATTTGGGAGCCTATCTATCTATCTATTAGATAAAATATAATAGCTTAATTGATATAATGACAATAATACCTTATACCAATATATACTAATATATTAAGAATAATATATTTTGAGATATAAAAATATTGTGTTTGAGTTGTAATGACATGATTCTTTTACTTATTAAATAAATTTAAGCATAAAAAAAATCTTTGTAAGTAGATATTCTTTTTGTTTTAACCATACTCGAAATTCGATAAAAAAATCATATATGATTTGATCGAATTTATTAATCTTTTAAAAAGAATTCAAAATCAGTAAGAATAATTTTAAATTTTAAAATTAAAAATATTTTTTATAAATACTTCTTAATAAACTTATTAATAGAATTTTTATTAATCATAATTTATTAAAAAAAATAATTAAATAAAAAATGAGATCCACTAAAATTTATATAATTAAAATTATAAGTTATATTACCTATTTCATCAATATAAATGAAAACATTTTATTGAACTAATGTTAAATTATTCTAAATTTATATTTTTTTATTTTTTATTCAATTATTAATTTATTTAATTTAATTTTGATTTATGTTAATTAATAAATTATTCAATAAGTACCTAAATTTCGTAAAAGTAATCATTTTAATTAAGTCTCTATCTTTAAAAATGGATAACTTTTTGGGTTGAAATTGGAATTGATGTCAATAGTTTTAAACTTTTTATTATACATTCATCATAAATTACATTATGCCTAACTGGAAATCATCAATATTTGTTTGTTGATAGAATCAAGTAAATGTTAATTGAGTGAGAAGTTGTCACATTGTTACTAAAGGAACTTTTCTTTAATAATGAGACATAATAAAATAAATAAATAATAAAGTCAAAAAATATATTTCTAAGTTACATTTGTCATCAATATTTTTCTTACTCTTTTTTATTTTATTTTAGATTGATTGTATCTCTGGTTTTACAAGCAAAGTTATCTTGATTAGTTTCAAACTCACTTCTTATCATACATTTATGAGTTAGGCGAATGAATCTAATAAAATAATAAATACTGTGTACTTTTAATTTTATAAATAAAAACAAAATAATATTAAAAAGGGTCTCTTTATAAAAAAATTTGGATGGGTCATTTAATCGTTAAAGACATAAATTTATAATTTAAAAATTAAACTTAATTGAATTTAATAAAATAATATTTTTTAAAATAATAAATATATAATGATTTTATTAATAATAATATTTTTATAAAAAAAATAAAAATTAATATAAGATGAATAATTATTATAAATAAAATAAAAATATAATAAAATAATTATTATTTAAAGTTAAAAAAATTAAAATATATTATATATTTTATAAAAGAATTATTCTAATTTTTTTATTAAAATAAGTTCACTCAAAAATGTAATTAATTTTTTTAATTTTATTGATTTTTTTAATTTTATTTTTGATTTAATTAAAATTCAGTTATTTAAAATAATAGAATAATTTATTGATTTAACCGATTTGACTTTCAAAGCAGATATAAATATTAATTAAATAATTATTAAAACAATGAAGAAACGCATTAAAAACTTGTGAAAAACACATTGTTTTATATTAAAATATATTTTTTAACTAATTTTTGCTGAATAAATTAAAATAAAATGAAACATAGAGTTAGCATTCCACAAGATATTTAACCTGGGAAATAATTATTTTTTTATGCATAAACCTATTCACCCAGTCCCTCACCAAACAGTATTGCCCCTCTTTCCCGTCGACTCAGGAACCGCAGGCCCATTGTCCACACTCCAATGGCCGATCACGATCACCCTCACCACCACCACCACCGCCCGCACCGCCTCTCGGTGCCATCGCGAACCGCCACATTCGGCGGCACTCCGGGTCCCTTCCCCGCCTCCCGGTACCCAGCATTCCCTAGTCCGACGCCTACCCCCTCGAAAAGCCGCCGGCCACCGTCTTCTTATTCTCTCCCCAAATGGAAATCGAAATCCAGATCCTCCCTCTTCCTGCTCCTCTTCTTTTCCCTTCGGTCCCTCTACTCCCTTCTCCCCTTCCTACGCTCCTCCCCCTCTTTCTCCCTCTTCCCCTTCTCCTTTCTCGTCTCCCTCCTCTCCTTCTTGCTCACCCTCACTTTCTCCCTCTTCTCTTCCTCTTCCTCCTCCTCCTCCTCCTCCTCCAAAGACAGCCCCTTTCTCCACCACAAGCCCAAGCACCCTCTTTTCTCCCTCCCCCACTCCCACCACAGGATCCTCGTCGCCAAATCCATCCTCCTTGCCCTTGTCTTCCTCCTCCGCTTCCAATCCCTCCGCTACTGCAGCACCGCCTCCATGATCCTTGCCGAACTCATGGGCTCCGTCGTGGCCCAGCCCAGAAACCCCCAACGGCCCAACCTGCGCGGCTTCCTCTTCCTTTCCCTCGGCCTTCTCATGCTCTCCTTCGGCTGGGACCGGGTCGAATGCTTCCCTTTCTCTCCCAGCTGCATCTCTGGCAGGATTTGGCCTATTTTTCTTCCGTTCATCTCCGGCTTTCTCAGTCGATATCAGCTGGTTGATTCTGGAAACACACTCAAACAGCTTGGGCATAAACGGGTTCGGTTAGTTACTCTCTTTTTCACCACTGTTATTCTCTTTTTTCCCGCCGTTTTTAGCTTCTTTGTCTTTGAGTCTCAAGAAGACAGTGTCGCCTTTGGGAATCTGTTGTGGCCTCTGGCCAACACTGTTGTTTTCGGCGTGCTGTTGAGTGAGAGTTACAGCCACGATGATAATGATGATAATGGTTTGGTGAGTTTGAGAGACTCTCAGAGGGAGTTTCTGGTCACTTTCGTGTGTACCCTTGTGTTGGAACTTTTTTACTTCCCTCAACTTTCTCTCTGGGGTCTTTTGCTCTGTGGATTATTGCTCTATCTGGGTGTTAGAGACTTGGATCCTTTTCAATCCAATGAAGAGGAATTTTTTAGTGACGTGATTATGAAGCCTATTAGACATGTCTTAAGTGAGAGGAAGTCAAGGAAAATTGCGCTTTTTCTTCTGATCAATGCTGGGTACATGGTTGTGGAATTTTCTGTTGGGTTTATGAGCAATAGTCTTGGGCTGATATCAGATGCTTGTCACATGTTGTTTGATTGTGCTGCTTTGGCCATTGGGTTGTATGCCTCGTATATATCTCGTTTGCCTGCGAATAATCACTATAACTATGGGAGAGGAAGATTTGAGGTTCTTTCAGGGTATGCTAATGCTGTTTTTCTGGTTCTGGTGGGAGCACTGATTGTGGTCGAGTCCTTTGAGAGGATATTGGATCCTCAAGAGATATCAACTAATAGCTTATTGGTTGTCTCTATCGGAGGGCTTATAGTCAATGTGATTGGCTTGTTATTCTTTCATGAGGAGCATCATCAAGTCCATGGCCATGGATGGTCTGGATCATCATGCTCCCATTCACACTCACACTCAGAGTTCCACAATCACCATCACACCGACCATCCTCATCATCATGATCATGATCATCTGGATAGCCATCCTCACGATCATGATCATCTGCATTGCCATCCTTACGATCATGATCATCTGCATTGCCATCCTCACGAAACAACCCATGGGAGCCATAAAAAATTTATATCCATTCCCGCTGATTGTCGAGATGAATCATGCTCTAGTGATCATGGCCATCATCATAATTATAACCACCGTAGTCATGAGAGGAAGCCTCATGGTGAGTGTCATGATCATGAAGACAACCACAGCATTCAGAGCTTTAAGCATCATGAAGCTGCTCACTGCCATGGCCATGGTGAACATCAGGATCAAACTGGACACTCTTGTCATGAAGAAGCTCCACTTGTTCACAAAGGGCACGGCCATCACCATATTGATCACAACATGGAAGGGATATTCTTGCATGTTCTTGCTGACACTTTGGGGAGTGTTGGTGTTGTTATATCCACACTGTTAATCAAGTACAAGGGATGGCTTATTGCTGATCCTGCCTGCTCAATTTTTATATCTATTTTAATTGTTTCCTCCGTGATACCTTTACTAAAAAATTCAGCAGAAGTTTTACTCCAACGAGTGCCAAGGGCGCAAGAGCATGAGTTGAAGGATGCCTTAGCTAACGTTTTAAAGATTAAAGGTGTTTATGGCATTCAAAAGTTTCATTCCTGGAGCTTCACAAACACAGATGTAATTGGTACTCTACATCTTCACTTGTCAACAGATACAGACAAGACATCCGCCAAGTCTCAGGTTTTGCATCTGTTACATAATGCTGGAATCAAGGATGTAACCTTGCAGGTGGAATGTGTTGGATAATTTCTTTCAAAATAGTTGTTGGCAGTGAACGTTGTCCAAGGATTACTGACATGCATTGTTTGAAACAAACAAATTTCCTGGCTATTTTCATACGGAATGCCTCACAACTTTCCCACATCAACATCTGTCTATTTTAATTCGTGAAGGGTGATGATTTTTGTTTCCGATCTGTTTGTCAGGATCTCACAAGTAGCAAAGTGGTAACTTGTTGTAAAGACACAAGCATAGCTTGTACATTAAAAATTAAGGTTACACACTTTTATCCTCTACTGTTTTTATTATGGATGTAAACTTAACCATTCTTGACTTTACTGTGGATATAAATTAACAACTTTAACTACTACTACTAATGTTATACATCTGTATCAACTTCCAATCATACTTAGTACACTCAAACTTTGCTGCAATTAAGTCATCTTCCACCACCTACACTTCACAGTCAATTTTGCACAACTTAGAAGAGGACAGCTATCTTTTGAAATCCACTAACCGCACAGATTCACCAGCATCAAATAGGGAGAGTTAAAAACATAAGGGTTTTGATAGCCTTTTCCTCTCTGCCACCAAAGACACCCAATCCTTATAAGGAATTGCGCTAAGATTTTGTTTTCCCTTTCTTAGGGAAAAATTGCATTCATGTTGCAATCCTTATCTATGAATTGAAAAATGTTATCCCTTGTCTCTCATAATATTATATTATATTATATTAAAGATGTGCACTTTTTTTTTATCTTTCCTTAGAATGTTGTTTTTATAATTCTTTTATGGTTTAACGTTACATGATTGATGTTGATGCTATTGACAATGATATTGAGGGATTTTGCTTGGGTTTAATTTCATTTGAATTAAATTAACAATTTATTATTTTTTAAGCTGTGTTTCCTATTATGTATACTTTTGTTAAGGGTCAAGACTGCACATGCTTGATGCTCTTGTACTAATTCTAATTTCGATGTCCAAACTGCCAAATGTGTAAGGATACTGTCATTATACATTATATTTGTGATCGATCATATTTTGTCAAGCTTGTGGGTGGTTTTATCAAGTGTTATTAGAACCAACTTCGTCAATCGTACTTGAATGGAAACTGTTTGTATTAACAGAACGGAAATACTATTGATCTTTTGATGATGTAATTGAATCAGAGTTAAACTAGATTACGATTCAAAAGCTCCAGCCAACACTCTGTTTTTCATTCTGAAAATAATATTCCGAACTCTAAAAAACTACATTTCAAAATACTCTCCAAAATAAAAGAAAGTGTTGCTTGAATATTTTGGGTGCAAGAGGCTGTGATTCCAAATTAAGTCCGTTTCTGAACCTTACGAACATGACATATCTAAAATGATAAAAATGTAGTTTTACTTTTTTATGCTTGAAACCCTACTTTGAGGCACGGTTATCCCATCTGCTCACTGCACCTCCATACATCCAATACCTCCTCCATTCAAGATCCTTTTTACTATAAGATTAAAAATCTCTTAATTATTTATGCTTTAAATATAAGTGTCCTAAACTGTTTTGAAAAAACATATTTGTTGCATATGGGTTGAATCAAAATACATTTTCCAAAAACACAATCCGAAAATAAGGTTTAGATAGATTAATCTAAAACACATTTCCAAAAAACATATTTCAAAAACGTATTCATTTTTGGATTATTCAATCTAAAATATGATTTTGGAAACACTGATAAGGAAGTGTATTCATTATGATTATCTGAAATATACTTTGAGAATATGGATTTGGAAAAACATGTTAACTCTGCTTTGAAATATACTTTGGGATTGGTATTTCCAGTAATTATAAGTTCGGATTATCCAATCAGATTATTCTAGAAATGACCATGCTGAAATGTATTTCGTTACTTCAAAAAAATAAGGATTAAGAATGGTTTAAAAATCTTACATGCAACTTATCACTTTATATTAAATTCTTAGAACATTAATGAATGATAACAACAGTAGAAGGAAACAATGTTAAGGATTTAGGATTTAAAAATGAAACAAAGAGGCTTACGAGAAAAATGAGATTTATTTTAATTACCGGTGTGCAGGAAGAAACCGCCCAAATTAAACCGGAAAAATTTGTTCTACGTCCACTTGACATGCAAGCCCATGGACCATTTTCATCTGTTCAATCACTGCTCCTATGCATTTTCAGCTATAAAGACTGACCTAGTGGTGACATCTCGAGTAGAAGACTTGTTGTTGCATGATGCATGCAATCTTAGAGTCTTTAAACTTAATTTGTATAAACACATTGAATCGAACCTCATTCGTCAAGCTTCCAAGGCAATGTTTAACCGTTGGAGTGAATAAGCAACTAGAACAGTGTACCTAAAGAAAGACAACCCCAGACACCCTCACCCAAGATAGAAAGAGAGAAAGAAAGAAAGAAAGAGAATCTTGTACTATCAGCATCATTCAAATATCATATAGTTATTCCAAAATGAACGCAAGCATCTCGTCATATAGGAAAGGTAATGCCCAAAATTGATAAATTGCATGAAATGTAAATGTAATGTGACCATAGAGTCACCAAAATGCAACAATATCCCAAATTCATCTCAAGAAGCAACCTGTAAAAAAGCTCAGCTGAACTTTGAGCACAAATCACCAGGTATTACTAGCTTGACCATCGATCAGCATAGAACAAACTATCACCATATGACAGAAATTTCTGTGGTCTGACATGAACAGCTATGTAAAGAAGTTCAAGTTGCTATATCCAGAAACAGATTGCTGAGACTTACATTGTCAAACCTCCATCAATGGTGAACACCTGTTGCATGGAGTTAGGTTTATATAAACACATGACAGAATAATTGGACGAAAAATAAAGTAAATAAAGTAAGTTACAGAAACCTGAGATGATGTTAGCATAGGCTTATCACAATAAACTCATTTTTCATTCGAGCATGACAGGACTTTTTTTTTTTAAAATAACAACTAAAGTATGGCTAGTTAAATGATAGAACTCAAAATAAAACCAATAGGAAAATTAATAAATGACCTGTCCAGTGATGTAATTAGCAGAAGGATTAAGAGCCAAGAATTCCACAAGTCCAGCAACTTCTTCTGGTTGGCCAAATCTTCCTGAATCCGAGGTAAAAAACAAAAAGTAGCTATTAGCAACATGAACGTCTTCAATTATTTAAAAATTTAGTTGTGTTTCAGAGTTAAAAATATTTTGGTCACTCACCTAAGGGGATTAACTCCAATCTTTTTTTCTCAATGTCTGGTCGTAGCTTGGCAGTCATATCAGATGCAATAAACCCAGGGGCTACTGCATTGACCTGTAATGAAATGCTGAGTTTTAATTAACTTTATCAACCGATAATCAACCTGGCTTTTGAGTATCAGCCCAAAAATTTACAGTGATGTTTCTGCTAGCATATTCCCTGGCAGCACTTTTTGTGAGGCCAATTACCCCTGCCTTTGCAGCACTATAATTGGCTTGTCCAACATTGCCAACCTGACCAATAACTGATGCAATATTGACTATCCTTCCCTGCAAAAGTACCAGTAAACTATGATATGATATACTAACATCTGGTAACTTACATGGACATTGTTGTTTTTTTAGCATATAAAAATAAAAAAAGACAAACTGATGAATCGAGAAAAACAAGTTAATTTTAATGGCCTTTAAAGTGTTGTTCACCTTCTTTTTCATCGTCATAATCTTTGCTGCTGCCTGTAAAAATCAAACCATCAGCTCATGTATTGAAAGAAAAGAGAACAGCTATACTTGATTTAACAACATAAACTTAAAATTTTGAACATATTCACCTGCATGCAAAGAAAAACACCAGTGAGATTCAGATCAATAACGTCCTGCCACTGTGATTTCTTCATTCTCATTAACAAACCATCTCGAGTAATTCCTGAACCCATGATAATTTTTATATTCAGTATGAAATCTGAAATTAAAATAAATAAATAAGTGGTAGCTTATTTACCAAGTTACCTGCATTATTTACCAATACATCAACAGTTCCCCAAGCATCAACTGCCTGCAATTGGACGTACGAATTAATCACTTAATCAGGTAGAATAACTTCATCAATCTCATAAATCAAAAATATTTTCTCACAGTTTTAATCATAGACTCCACATCAGCTTCATTTGAAACATCTCCCGCGAAGGTAATAGCTTGTCCACCAAACGCCTCAATCTGAAAGTAGTAAGCAAATAAATTAATGCAGTTAAGCCAAAAAACATAACCAGCTAGCTTCAACATTTTCTTCTAAATAACACCAAAACTCATATCATCAGTAAGTGTATAATGATCTAACTTAGATAGATCAACAGTGTCTGTGAGCCGTCATGAACAATCCATCATAAACTGTCATATATGTCCAAAAACAAATCGAGAGGAAAGAAGTTTAGAGATCGTTTAGGTACCAAGTTGGAAACCTCCTCAGCTTGCGTGGATGACTTGGCATAGTTGACCAAGACCTGTAATAGAGTTGAAAACATGCAACCCTAATAAGTGAAAGACATGATGACATGAGAGGACTCATGCATGCACGTAATCTTAAAATTTTGGATTCGAACTTAACCTTATAAAACCATCAGTGAAGTGAGAGTTACTTTAATTATATACACTATTTTGTCGGTTTTATCTGTTATTGTTGAAACTTAAATTTTTCTGAATTGGTAATAAGGAACTCACCTTGCAATTGGCTTTACCTAAGGAAAGTGCAATTGCACGGCCAATGCCTCTGGAGGCTCCAGTGACTACCACAACAGGTGCTTCCATGTTCTTCTGTTTTGCTTCAAGTTCAAGCTGCTCAGAGGGAAATGAACCATTCCATGAGAACTTCTGAAAAGACACAATCTCACTACCTACTTTCCGGGTTCCACCGGTTCGTAAAAAGAGGGAGTTTGGTCGAGCCAGAGAACCCGTCATCATCCTTCCCTATGCTTTCTTAGACTCACAAATATGAGATTGTAATTTGCAAACAACACTCATTTCTGTCTTGGTGGGGCTACCATTTACAACTCACGAAGAGCCAATTCAAGAGGTGCTCTTATATATTATTCTTTTCAATAATATATAATCCTGATAATAAAATATAGAAATGGTTAATTACCATGCATTGACTTCAGCCAAAGGACTTACAAATTTCTAATCTTTTGCAGGCTTCCCCAACCAAATTAATTAAGCCTGGTATGCTAAAAGCAAACTAGTTGTAATAAGTTTTGTTAATAAGTTTCTAAAAAGATCCAAAATCCTTCTCTTCTTGGGCTTCAATTGTTGCATTCAATTTCTTTTCCCTTTTTCATTCCTTAGCAGCTTTAGATCTGTTTGATTTGTTTCATCTTATATTGCTACCTCTTGCATACATGTATTTATCAATTCCCTTCATTATTAGCTTAACGATTATTTGACTTGTTTCGTACATTTGTTTTTTTAGCTCAATCCTAGAGACATAGAGTATTGGGTGAATATAATAATATTGATAAGGTTAATTATATCAGTGGAGTTATTTTATCTTTAAAAGAAATAACAGACTTATAAACATTACGCAACATGTACTTTATGTGAGATATTATATTTATACATGAATGAAACTTTTTATTTAATTATAAAAGTTTAATATATCTACGAGTTAAGTCTTTCGCACCGCCGTTAGTCCACTAAAAAATATTAAAAAATTAATCAATATAATTTAAAATATTAATTATAATTTGTTATTTTAATATATAAATATAATAATTTTTTCCAATTTATTTAAAAATATTAATTAATAAATAAATAACTTAAAAATTATTTATATAATTAAAGGTATATTTTTTAAAAATATATATAAAAAATTTATTTAAAAATAATATTAATAAAATGATCCATTAATCTAGTTCGTTCTTTAACGGAATAGATTAAAGTTGATAATTGGTTTTAATTATAACGAGATAATTTATTTATTTTATTTTTGACAAACCACAGTGATGAGTAATTGATTATGTAAATTAATCCAGCATAAAGAATTTATTGTTTCTGAATAATAATCTGATATAATATTGTTTATGGATATGTTACCTTATTCTATATTAAAATTTTTAAATCAACAAATTTTAGTTAACAAAAAAATTGCATATTTGTATCTTTAACCTCTCATTGCTGGATTCCTCACATTTATGGTGGCAAAATGTTCTTCATATATATTATTAAAATACTCTATAAAAACATTAGTTGTTAAAATATAACAACTAAACTTTTATATATAAATGATATTTATAGGTTATGGGAATTCCCAAGTAGTGTTAAGATGCTACATTACTCAGTATATATATATACTAAAAAAATATTCAAAAATTCATTATGAATATACTTATGATTTTATTTTATGTTTTAATCATAAATTTTATTTTAAATTATACAGATGAATTTATTTGTTCCAATAAATAATTAAAACATAATATATTCAATTCATTATAATATTGTGAAAATTATAAGATCAGTATATCCTTATTTTTCTTTTAGTTTTTCCAGTTAAACACTTAATTAAGCTTTATAATATTTTTAAAATTATTAAATCAATTAAAAATACGATTAATTTATAATATACAAATATAAATCTCATTTTATCTAGACATATCTTCATTTGTTAACAGCTAGATTCTATTTATCTCATAAATACATTTTTTAAGTTCATTCTTACTTAGTACTTGGAATAATTTATTTGTAGCTCTAATATAATTTTAATCCTAATTTTTTTTTAAGGTGTAATATCAATGGCGTGGTGTAATTTTTAACATTTGGATACTAATAACAAAGAGATTCTCTTAAATAGGACACCAGCCAACAACCATATAAGAGAATTCGAAACAACTTTCAATCCAAAAATTTAAAACATTAGGTTATGAGTCTTTTTTATGTATAAGTTACTCAACTTTTTCATTTTTATCCATTGTGATACCACCCTATCGAGCGGAAGCTAGGTTATAGATCTTTCTCACTTATAAATTACTTAATTTTCTCATTTCTACCCAGTGTAGTGGAGACATCTTAACCATGAGTACCTACTTAATTTTTTTCATTTCTACCCAATGTAGAGGAGGCATCTTAACCATGAGTACCTAACAATAATGGTTATCACTGTTAAGTCTTTCTGAGGGGGCTAATAATAGGAATATTCTCACAATCATATACGAGAATATGACACAATTTTCAACCCAAAATCTTAAGACATTGGGAGTCTTGATACTCAACTTTCACATTTCTATCTAATATGAAACTTCAAATATTCTTAATTCTCAACATTAACTAATTAATGAAAGGTATATTAATGGACAAGTTTTTTAAATAAAAACTAAGTTATAATAATATCAAATTATTATGTTATTATTTTATTTGTAAGTTTTCTATTATTTATTTTGTAGGCATGTGATATTTAATTTGAACAAAATACTTTACTCTCAAAGTTAAAAAATATCATACCACGTTTTACTTAAATATTATTTTTTACACTATAACTAAACAATATGTCAAAAAAGTAATCTTACGTCTATAAATATATGTTAAATAAATAAGTTAGTAAAAAACTTAAGAGTAATAATTTTTTATAATTAATTAATAAATTAAAATTAAAAGTATATATTCTAAAAATTAATAATTAACATTTATTTATATAATAAAAAGATTGTTTAAAACAATTAAAATTATATTTGAAATTTAAATTTAAATATAATTTTATCTTAACCTAGTATTTAGCTAGTAAGGTTAAATGAAAGAAAAATAATACATGTATATTTATGATTTATAATTTTTTATAATAATTAATATATATATCACATATAGTCTACAAAATGAAATTTATCCTATTTATCTTCAATTAAATTATGATCTTTTCAATAATTTATATGTTATTTGATTATTATAAATATTCCATATTATTTGATTATTATAAATATTCCATTATATAAAAAAAGGATGTTTTAAAATAACATATAAGTAAAGGTAAATGAGTATTAATTAACATTAAATTATGAGTTGGTGTAATAAGACACTCTATTCTAAAATTCATAGATGATTTGTTTAGTGTGAAATCTTATTTTAATTTAATAGTTTGTAGAAAATATTCAAATTAGTTATAATCACAATTATGTAAATAAAGTTGTTCCGTAATGAATTTGAGTTTAACAAATATTCTAAATATACTGGTTAAAAGTTAAAAATAGTAAAAATTACAAGTTACATGAAAAATATAATAAAATATATACCTATATTAATTTTATAATTTTTATATTAATTTCTAATAAATATTTCAAGAAAGTTTTGTATAATTATCTTCCTTAAATTATTTTTTTATGCAATATCTTTTGGTCTTATAGATGATGATGCTATAACAGTTGAGCTAACTGTGGGATTATTTATTAGAAGGAATTATGATGCATGGTACCAAGTCCAAATCATTAATGCACTCATCACTCCTCCATCAAAGTTTATTGAATGAAAAAAAATTTATATATATATATATATATATATATATATATATATTAATCATTTTATTGTATGAGAAAAAAAATCATATTTTTCATTCATTCTCTTTCTTTTATTATAAAAAGTATTTTATTAGTTTATTTATATTATTTTTTATGTCAACTCATACAAGTTAAAACATTGTTTCTAGTTTTTTAAAAGATACAAAGTAAATAATGTTTTGTAAAAAATAAAATAAAAATCTCTATGTTTTAGGAATTAAAAGTTTAAGTAAACTTATAAATATAATATAGTACACGTTTCAGTTAAAAATACTGATTAAATTGCGAAGTAATTAATTAAATTATTTATTTTAGTATTATTAAATAGTTATCAGTTTTTTAATTACTTTTTGTTTGTTAGATGGAGATTTTATTTGTTATTCCCAGTGAAATAGTGACATTATTTAAAAGTATATAAACAATAAAAATATTTTAGAATATGTGTTTAATTAAAAAATATTTCTAAATTTTTTAAAAATACTCTTTCCCACCACTTTCACGTGTTAATACTGTGTCATTAAATAACATAATATTAAATTTTATTTATTTACTTTAAGTGAATAAGTTGTTGTTTTTTACTAATTTTAATTGAAAAATGATTTTCCGATAAACATAATATAAATGTAATCAATATAAATATATATATATATATATATATATATATATAGTTGAGTTAAATTAAATGAAAAATAATAATAAATTTATTATATATATTATATATAATTTTTGCAATATTCTCACGCGTGTTTGAAAAGTTACTATGTTTATCTTCTTTTTGCAAACTATTAAAAGTAAATGGGATCGAAAACAACGTTTCTAGGTTTTTTCCTTTCATTAAGGTAAAGAAAAATCATATTGTCAGGATAAAAAAACAATTTTATATAAAATTGATAAATTCCTCGTCTGTGCATTGATGTCTGTAGAGTAGAAAAAGTTACTTAGTGTGATAGAGTTAAACTCTGAATCAGGACAATATACTTATGACCAAATCTAACCATAGACAAGATAGGCATAAAGCAATTGAAATGATTAGCATAGTAGCCTTTTAAGTTTCCTTCATCACCTACCAATTAAAGCGACATGATTTCATAATCTTACATTAGTGTACACAGCTAGGTATTGGTTAATCATAACTCAGTTGTTAAGTTGACTTTATCCCTTCTTGTCCCACACAATTTTTTTCTTCCTTCATTCCTTTCTTCTCAAGTTTTTTTTCTTTTTTGGCAGCTTCGTTACTCACAAATTTAAGCACTATTCCTTAAAATACTATTGCTTTTCTAGATAGATTGAAACCTTAGGCCAAAAAAAAAACTAATTAGGACATATCAACTTGTTTAAAATGCCAACCTCACCAAAATCATGCCCTTGATGGTGATGGTTCAGTCCTCTTGAGATGGACTTTCTTATACATATTGGGTCTCTTATACAATGTCCTAATATTGTTAGAGATTATACTAACTTTGTTCATTATTTGGAACTTAAAGGTTTTGGGTCAAAATATTATTACTACCAAGTTTAGTAACTTTTGTATTTCCTTTTGGGTCAATGTAAGTAGTACATTTAATATTACTGTATATGATAAGAAATTTAATAGTTTAGTAGAAAAAATTTACCCCGATCAATTCTAAACCCCATTAATATTATCACTTGTGGTCCATTGATGGGATGAAGGGTCCAAAAAGTCTAAACTTGGCTTCAATGTGACTTGTAACACCGTAGGCATTTATGAAACATCCTTCACATATAACCTTCTACCAGCACAATTATTGTATACTAATATCTCATTCAATCCAACTAATGTTAGACAATTAAAATGGTAGAAAATGGTCATGTGTTATAATATCAGTGGAACTAAAAATCCTAGACATCAAAATCGACTAATTAATGTATTTTAGTTCTAGTATGAGAACACTAAATTGAGAAAAATAGAAAACATTAAAAAAAGTCTATGAAAAATCAGAGAGAATCTATTAGGCATGTAACGGGCAGAAAAAAAAATTTGAAAAGAAAGCTGAAAAAAAGGGAAAGAATGCTTGTTGTTTAGGATAAAACAGCAAATCACAGGACAACTGCAAAGGTTATGGTTGAGTATTAATATTATTATTCTCAAATTGCAGTCCAATATTCTTATTTTTCTCATAACTGTAGAAAAGAATTGTATGAGGAGAGAGAATAATGACATTTTTTTTAGAGTTGGTTGGAACCGTTGGATCACACTGGTTCTGATCTGTACTTTTGGGTGCTCAGAAGAAGCCATGAATGCTGTAGATCCGGGTGTCTGAGACAACATTCGTCGCATTGTAATTGGCATTTAAGCTCTATTTTTTTGTTTTTGTTTTTATCAGTTTTTGTTTTTTAATCTTCCAACTTGGATCCTAAGAGTGCATTATGTTTGAAGCTATTTGACTTAGAAATTTGGTGAGCCAAGTTTCCCTGTATGCTCTGAACTTGGATTAATGGGTGTGCCAGCTTGAATTTTATCGTTTGAGCTACCCTTTTGGTCGGTGATGGCAACTTCGTAATTGGGATCTGCTACTGACCAATGTTCTAGGGTTTCTGGTTGAGGGATATCTTCAATATTAATTTTGGATGCTTACTGTATAGGAGTGTTCAGGGTTTAGACATTGTTTTTAGAATGGTATAGTTGTTTTAATATGCCAAATTTAGTTTTATTTGTTTTGGAATGTTTGGGTTGGTTAACTCAGTCACATTAGACAAGGAGTGATGAAGCCTGAAGAGATAATTGGTGAATGAAGTGTGGGTTTTGCTGATATTGTTGTTTGGAGATTGAATTTGTGGTGAGCTTGAGGTATGTGTTAACAATAATCATTAGTTGTTAGTTTAAGGTGTTGAAGGTTTTTGACTTTGGATTGTATGGAGAACTCGAGGTGACACTAGTTGGACACTGCACTAAGATGCCACCTTCCCCAGCATTTAGATGCTCTCCCGGTAGAGAGCCAAGATCAGACAGTCACAAGCGTGGACGCAGTCTTGAAAGTGGACTGCACTTCAGAGCAAAAGATGATGATCTTGCTTTGTTCAGTGACATGCAGTCCAGAGAAAAAGAGAGTTTTTTGCTTCAACCATCTGATGACCTGGAAGACTCATTTTGTAATTTTCTTTTCTGACATCTTGAGTGGAGAATGTATCTATTTATTGGTTGCTTTGCTTGGGAACTCATGCATTTCTCCTCTATGTTTTATATTAATTTGCAGCAGCGAAGTTGAGGCATTTTTCTGATATCAAGCTTGGGATATCCATTCCTGGTCGAGGAGAAACCAGTGAATTGCTAAATGTAGATGGTGACAAGAATGACTATGATTGGTGTGTAGTCTTTTCTGTCCTTTGAATCTTAACATGTTAAATCATGTTGGTGTGATATTATCAAATTTTATGATTTCAATTTCATCATTTTGCAATTGTGTTTCTTTCACACTAATAGTTTGGTCAATAATTCAAAATTATTTTTTCCCAAAGGTTTAGAAGTAGATGTGCATATTACTTTACTGATGCTGCATGTCTGTTTTATTCATTTAAAGGTTATTGACACCACCGGACACACCACTGTTTCCTTCACTAGATGATGAACCAGCAGAAATAAATGTTGTCAGCAGAGGAAGGCCTAGGAGTAAACCCATTTCCATATCAAGATCATCTACGGTGTGCATTCAAATCTGTTTTATGCACAATTACCTTAAAAGTCCTTATCTTTTCTCCTGTGAATAAAAATTGTGTTATTGATTTAGTCACTATCCATTTTTTGTTGGACTCTTTCAGATGGAGAAGAGTTACAAAAGCAATAGGGGTAGTGCAAGTCCTAATCGATTAAGCTCATCCCCTCGATCTGGGAATAGTACATTGCAATCAAGGGGAAGGTCTTCATTAACACCAAATTCTAGTCCAACTCAAGTTATACGACAGGCTACTCCAACAAGAAGACCATCTCCACCTCCAATGAAGCCTGCAACACCTGCTCCAAGGTCTTCTACTCCTACTCCTCGGCGAATCAGCGCTAGCTCTGGTAGTCCTGCAGTCTCATCTGGGATTAGGGGAACTTCCCCTGTTAAGACAAGCCGTGGAAACTCTGCTTCACCAAAGATAAAAGCATGGCAAACTAATATTCCTGGTTTCTCTTCTGAAGCTCCTCCTAATCTCCGGACATCTTTGGCTGATCGGCCAGCATCATATGTGAGGGGTTCGTCCCCAGCATCCAGAAATAGTAGGGATTCTACTTCTAAATTAGGCAGGCAATCAATGTCTCCCACACCTTCCAGGAGCAGCAGTTATATTAACAGTCATGATCGAGATCAATTTAGTTCGCGCAGCAAAGGTTCTGTCATATCTTCTGGTGATGATGATCTGGACTCTCTTCAGTCCATCCCAGTGGGTAGTCTAGACCGATTTGGTTCGAGAAGGGGTGACTCATTTTCAAACAACAAATCTCCCTCAATTTCCAAGAAGTCAGCCAGGATAGTGTCCCCAAGTTCCGCTCCTAAAAGATCTTTTGATTCTGCCCTCCGGCAAATGGTATTTTGTTGCCTAATCTCATAGTATACTTTCTCAATCATTTTATAGTTTGCGGCCAATGTGCTAGCAAGTGACCATGCCGTATAAATGATTTTTCATATTCGGTAGTAGGCCTTCTCTTCTCCCATGTATACTTAAGCAGGGTGACCTAAGCATAAGGCAGTCCAAGTCCTTGTTTTAGGCCCCTAAGAATATTTTGTTTCAGAATTAGTATCTATGTAATTTCTATTGTTAGTTTGTCTAGTATAGTGGTAACTAATAAATCTTTTTTCCTTGGTGAATGGGTTCAAACCTTGTGCAAAGAAAAACTACTTCTAATTTTTCAGTTTAAAATTTAATTAGTTAGTTATTTCAATTAAATAAGCTGTCTTTTAATAAGATTCCTAAATTGTCTATATCAAAATTTGCCGTTGGCCAAAAAATATAGTTTGTCAACCCTGCATGTGCGAGCACACAATTTCCCTCTTTTATGAACTTTCTTTTTCATTTATGTTAATAAGTCATAACATTGTTTCTCTGTTTAAATCTGATAGGAACTTGAGTATTATGGGGTGCCTATGTTTCACATTGAATAGTATGAAATGAATCCTTTAGTATTTGGTTCTCCCCCTTAATACCTAGTTTTTGAGGTTGTGGAATCTCCAAGTGCTTGGGTACTTATCAACTGGTCTGGAGCTGGTTGTCAGTGTCATGGAAAGAACTATCTAGGAAGGGCCATGATAGGAACTTGGGTATCAAGTATGAGATGTTTGGTGGAGTATTTAAGTGCTTGGTTCTCTAGTTCTCCAAGTGCTTGGGTTGGGTACTTATCAAAATCAGAACAATTTAAAATGGAAAGTGGAAGTATATCTGTATTTCCTTTATAACTCAGGGACTGGTGGTTAGAATTCCCTGTTGTTATGCAATTCCCCAGGTCTTCCAGGGTTATTACTGTGGGATAGGTTAGGATGTGGTTAGGTCCAATCAGATCGAAGTGAACCCAGTCACCCAGAGAGTACAATCATAATTGTTTTATTTATCTATATATAATCTTAGGTAAAATGCTTTAGTTGGTTCTTCTGGGGCATGTTTTCTTTCCAGTGAGTTTATTTTTAGACTGCACGTGATAAGACTATTATTCAAGTGAATGACTAAAGCAAAGTCATCAATTAGTTTGTTTATTGTGCTGCATATAAAGTGACATGCGAGCACTTACAGGGTTATCATAACAAGATTAACACATTTGCTGTTCTTATTCACCAATGAGTTTTTGTTGTAAAGAGTTGTTCATTCATTCATGCTCCCCTCACCTTTTGCCCGGATTTTTTCTCTTATGTCTTTAAATAGTTGGTTGGGAACTTGGGACCAAACTGCTTACTTTTGTTTGTTAACCAACCATACTGTGCAGGATAAAAAAAGTCCTCAGAATATGTTCAGGCCTCTTTTAACAAGTGTGCCAAGTACAACTTTTTATGTTGGAAAAGCAAATTCTGCACAACGTTCCCTGGTATCTAGGAACTCCTCTGTCACAACAAGCAGCAATGCGAGCTCTGATCATGGTACAAGTTTTGCACCGGATACTGAAGGAAGTGACCACAATCAAGACGATGTGGCCAGTGAAACTGAGAAGGTATTATATGCTGACATTCATGAAGAAGTATTTTCCTTTGATAACATTGATGTATTAAATGCAAACATTGGGCATGAGATTAATGATGAAGCAGTTGATGTCCTGCACAATAAAACTAGAGGCTCTATGATCGCTTTAGGTCCCACTGAATCTGAAGCTTCTGTTTATCTTGGTATTGACAAAGAATTCAGTGAAAGTTTAGAAACTTCCCTTGTCATCGTTGACATTTCTGAAAATGGTGGTTTTGAGAATACAGCAATCTGTTCTAGTTGTGGTTGTCCTGTGCAGGCCACTGATCAAACTGAGAAGAATCTTAGACTATGTCCAGAATGCAGCAGGGAAACCACATTGTTGAGACATATCATTCCTGAGGCAACTTTGGCAGTTTTTTATGACAATTCAGTGAATTCCACTAACATTCCTACAGAAGAAAAACCGTTACATTTAACAGACCAACTAACTGTTGAGTCTAAACTGCCTCAAGAGACTGATGTGGGTCACATGAGGTTTCCCCTTGGAGAACTAGATGCCAATGAAAATCAAACTTTTCCCAGTGAATTGATTCAGGACCACTTGCAACAAAGTCCTCTCTCCAATTCAGTGGTAGAGACAAATGGGCAGATGTCTACCAATCAGCTAGAGGTGGACCAGTCAAGGGTTGATTACAGTAAGCCTGACAATCATTCTGGGGATCAGCAGTTGTATCTTTCCAAAGACCACTCAAATTTGAAAGTTGACCTCTTGGAAGGCACTGGAATTTCTGTACTACTGAAAAGGTCAAGCAGTAGCAAAGGACCTGTAATTCAGGGCAGGACTTTTACTGCCACAACACTATCTTATGATGATTTGTCCTTTGCTAGAAACAGCATTAACAGTATTAGAAGTTCAACTGGGCGTAGCAGCTATTCTGCCTCATCATCTGTTGATTTCAGCTCAACAAGACATTCTGATTTTCGTGTCCAAAGGCAGTCAAGTGGCAGGAAATTGGATGTAGACTATGGATATGACGTTAGGATCAGGGCTCCAAGCCCTGGTTCATCTTTTTCTGGAATGTCAAGCCACTCTTACCATGGATTAGGCTTTGCTACGCAAGAAACTTCTTCTGGCAATACAGAATGCAGCAACCTAGAGGAGATACCCCAAGATCTGAGAGAAATGCAAGC